TCACTCAATGGTAAGATTACCGGGTAAGATGCTAGACGGCGGCTCATTGTCAGTGAACCCGAGCGTATGGGCAAATACCACGGAAGAAGGAGTAACGAGTAAGTACGGAACGAGCCGGTCACTTTTCAGGATTACTTTTGTCCACGAAAAGGAGAACCCCAGAAAACCGGCTGGGGAAGACAGACATCCTTGGCCACTTAACTTACTCCTCTTCTACTGTCTTCTCTCCACTAACCCCCCGACCTGTCAACTGTCACTCTCTTCTTGACCAAATTAAAGTCTCAGTGCTTGAGGGGAATGGTGTCATACCCTTTCCCACCGGTCTGTCTCGTATCTTCAATTTTTTACCCCCCTCATCATCTTTACGTCTGCCTCCTCTGTAATCTAATCTCCTCCATCTATTTATCAAAAGATCGATGCCGGCTAGATCTCAGCCGGAGATCTGACAATCTATCTTTGCCCTTTACCCTGCAGATCGGGAGACGGGTGCTCACAGTGTGTGCCAGGGACTCCCCCGACGGCGAACCGATAGCGTTTGCTGCTGTGCTGAGTGCTGACCTTCCGCTCCGATCGCCATCTCCTCCAACTCTTCCACACGCCCACACAAACCCACCCCCCTTCAATTAGTCTAAAGCAACCATCTACCCCGGACTTTCCCATCTCCCCCCGTTAATCTCACCCCTCCCCTCCCTTCTCCCCGATGCATGTCCTTCGCCCCTAACCATGAAGCCCGCGAGCAAGCATTTCTGCTGCACCATCTGTCAGCGGGGTTTCACCCGCATTGACCATCTCAAACGACATCATCTCCGCCGTACGTTCCAACATTTATCGCCCTCCTTCCTGCATCTCGGCCCGCTTCGGGCTCGTGTGTGGCTCATCCTTCAATGTTCGTCCTGCGCTAACTTCAACCTTGTCCGTCAGATTCCGGTGTCCGCCCTTATTCATGCGTTTTCTGCAACGAGTCCTTTGCGCGTTGGTTCGTGTTCTGCTCTCCCTCTTCCTCCCGCCCCCCTGGCCCGTCGTCGGTTTCCCGACCGGCGCATGTATGTTTGCCATGGTCGCTCCACCCAACCACGATGCTGATGCCTTCGCTCAACCTTCAGTGATAACCTTCGTGATCACTACACGGACTGTGCCAAGCGCGGCGATCAAAAGATCCCGGAGACCGGTCAAAGAGGCCGAAGGCGACATGCCTGTCAGTCGGCAAGTTCCCCCTGACCTCCCGCCGATCGCATACCCAGCCTGTTTATTGTGCGCCACATGGTCGCTAATTGTCGGCATCTAGTGCACATCGATGAAACTGCGCTGCGATGGTCTGAGCCCATGCAGCTCGTGTCAGAAGCGGAACTTGCGGTGTAACAATGAGCGCAAGCAAACAGCCGACAACCTGGAGCTGGTCTCCGGCTCGGCTTCGGTGAAGCGTGAGGACTACGGAGCTTCCTCGGATCGCGGCTCAATCAAGTTTCTCCTGAACGGTGGTACAGACAGTTTCACCGAGGAGTTCCTCCTTCCTCCCCGCAGCGATCGCGCTCGCGGCCTTGAGTACCATAATCAGAAGGGTCGGCAAGATGCTGGGCAGAGAATGCTCAACTTCCGGACAGGTGATCCGTCAGACTATGCACCCGCGTTCGTCGAGTCGGACCCGGCCTCCCTCTCGTTCTTCCAGGATACTTTTCTCGATTTTTTCAATGGTCCGTTTGGAAATGTGAACAAAATAGTCGGCGATTCCTATGCTGGTGGGGCCAACTTCCCTGCGATGGTTCCCCCGATACCAGATCCCGGCCTCGCGTTCGCCCCGCAACCTACGTATGAGCCGGAAGAACCGTACGCAGCCGGATTGTATCAGGCGATCCTAGCACGGGCGTGGTCGGTTCCTCTAGATACCCAAGCGCAGGAGCGTTTGTCAACATATCTAAGCTTTCTGTTGACGCCCGCTCGCATCGACAAGTTTGTCCGAATGTACCTGGAGTACTGGCAGCCCAGCTGTGCGATGGTTCACCTTGCATCACTGAATGTGAACACCGTCGCGTTGCCCCTCCTTGCAGCGCTCGTGTTCATGGGTGCTACGTATACGACTAATGAGCAGGAGAAGCATGCTGCGAAGCAGGTGATGGATTTTGTTGAACTCTACATTTTCTCCAGCGAGACCTTCTCTCCAGAGAACGAGGTGGCTTTGGCATTCAGTGGACGTCGAATGTTTGATGGTGGGAATAATGATTGGATTCAGTTTCAGAACCTGCAGGCCGGCTTCATCATGGTTATTGCGCAGTACTGGTCGGGTAGCCCGACGGCGCGCAATCGAGCGATGGAAAACCGGTTCAGCGAGGTCATCAAGGTACTTACTATGGACTTGAGACAGGTGACGTTACTGATATGAGTAGGTCGCTCGTCGAATGGGCCTTCCCAAATGCCGCCATAACCAACACCAGGCTGTCTCGGAGTTTCAATGGATTCAGACAGAGTCTCGCATACGGTAGGTGCCGGTTCCGTCTTCTAATTTACCCCGCTGACGGTAGAAGTACCATGAGCATCATTCTGCTTCTCGACTGTGCATTTTCCTTCTTCCAGAACTACCCTTGCCGTCTGTCACATCTTGAAGTCGAGTGCGATTTTCCTTGCGCCGAGTCCCTTTTCGCTCTCGAACACCCGTACTCCGATCGCAACTTCCAGGCCTCGAGGGGAGTCACGATTTTGGAAGCGTTCCACAATCTATTCGAGGAAGATCCCAAGGACACGATGCCTTCCACTCCGGACTCATCCGCGTCTGGCAGTATGGCTAGTCTGACAGTACTCGACATGTTCATACTGATCCACGGTAAGTCACCCACCGATAGCACATGTCATTGAGCTAATTGGTCTAGTTCTGTACACATTCATCAATTCGCACATGTCACTACTGGGCCCTATCCTCCGGAAGACTCAGAATTCTCACCCGAAGCATCTCTTCAGCTTCGATCCCCCAGAGAAGAGCCAGTCTCGGGCGATCCCAGACGACCTCATGCTAGCCCATATCCGAGTCGCACTCGCCCGATGGCGCGAGCACTGGATGACGCTCAGCAACACTCTTTCGAGCGGGGAGTGGGCGTCGATGGGCTTCTTCAAGAACGGGTACAACTTCTGGTTGGTCTCGCAACTGCTCATCACGAAGAAGAAGAGCGTGGACGTGGTGATGCAGATGGAGGTCAACTGTGAGGACAAATTGCAGAAGCTGAAGGTTCTGCTTGATGAGAATGACTAAGGTCATCGTCTCTAATCTATCTTCCACTGTCGATGTCGATGTCGCCTCATGAAATAGGGAACTACATATATATGGGCGCGGGCGTCTGGAGCCATGGGTCTGCGAATAAGACATAACCCCATGGCGATTGTATTCTGTCTGTGTATTACTACATATGACTTGTATTATATTAATGTATGAAAAGATCTGAGTTGTATGTGAGACGAACCTAACATGAAGCATACTACTTAGTAGCCCATGCACAGATCCGCATAGCTGATTCATCAGCACACATAAATTAGCATCCACCCCAAAACAGTAACTCCCCAAAACAGAAAGCGGTCACCATCTGCCCATCTCTGCACCCACCCGACGTCAACAACCATCCTCACCAAGCTTCAAAAAGCTTCCTTCCCTCTCCATCCCTCATCCTCACGGACACCCGTCCCACCCACCATGCCCGACTCGCCCCCGCGGCGACGCCGCTCCCGCTCGCGCTCACCCCGGCGCCAACCCCCCAAAGGCCCGGGCGGATTCCGCTGGAAGGAGAAACGCGCACCTCCCCGCGACGACAACTTCAACAACGAAACCGACCGTCCACTTGACCGCGGCTACCGCGCGCGCTCACCTCCTCGCCGAGAAAGCTACAGAGACAATAGCGATAGATACGGAGACAGAGACAGAGACAGAGACAGATACCGCCGAGACTACAGCCCGGATAGAGCCAGAGATAGGGACCGCGACCGTGATCGCGACTCAACCAAGCCCAAGAAAACCGACAGCGAAAAGAAAGAAAAGAAAGAGAAGAAGAAGAAACTCAAGCCCGCTAGCACGGAGGAAATGATCCTTGTGACGGTTAACGATCGTTTGGGTAGTAAGGCCACGGTGCCGTGTTTGCCGTCGGATACGGTGGGCGATTTGAAGGTCTTGGTGGCGGCGCAGATTGGAAGGGCTCCTAGGGAGATTATGTTGAAGAGGCAGGGGGAACGCCCCTTTAAGGATTTTATTACCCTTGGGGATTATAGTATTACTAATGGGGTGCAGTTGGATTTGGAGATTGGGACGGGGGATTAAATATCTTCTTCGTGTTGAGGGATTGTGTGGGGAAGTGTGGTTATCAGCTGGTATTAGGTTCTCTGTGGTCATGGATGTTTCGTTCTCTGGTGATGTGGGGATCGGATTGGAGAGGAGTTGGGTGGAGTTGGGGGTTTCTTCATACTATACTTACTACTGTGACTATGTAAAGTTGTGGAAATGGTATCATGCATCATATCATATATTTTTAGTAGGGAGTATACTAACAGTCTTCATATGTCAGGCTGTTTCATTGGTTCGTCACACTACGTGTATTGGAACGTTGCCTTAAGGTATGTATTGTATGTAATGTACCGCCAGGTCACTGTGACTTCGGGACGTACCCTCGTTACCAGGGTCAGTCACACGACACTGACCACGTTCTCCAAGACTTTTTGTGGCACGGACAGCGCCACGGCTTGAATGTTATGTTGTCGTCTTGCCTTCAAAGTATTAATCAGTACATTACCATTGAATCTTCATATCTAGTGCGTCGTCTCAATTACCGTGATCGACCCATATCGCTACCTTGGTACGGACTATGGAGTACTTCGACAAGGTTATTCCCGCTGTGGATCGACTAAAGTAGTTGCTCCGCGCTGCCGTTAGCCCTAAATCGACATCATGCATTAACGGCTAATAAGTAAACTACTACACTAAATTTTGCTTTCCAAATAGCTGAACCGCGAGCAGAAAACAAATCAATACACTCATAACCAGCAGAAACAACCAAGCCCTACCCTAAACTAGAAGAGACCCAACCACCAACCCAACAACCCCCCACCCCATCTTCCTCCAGCCCCGGCCCCAGACCTTCACAGCACCCGAAGTCTCCTTACCAGTCCCAGCAGCAGATCCAGACCCATCCCCACTCGACGAACTCCCTGACGAGTCCGAAGTTCCACTCCCACTTCCATCTCCACTATCACTCGAAGAACTCGAATCATCACCCGAATTAACAACCTCAAACACCGCCGAATACTTCACCCTCCCGACATCCTTAACATCCACAATCGCAAACCGATAATCATCCCCACTCTTCACACTCCCCGGCAACACGCACGCCACGTCCCCTGAGTTCGCAATATCCGTCGTGATAGTCGTCACATTCTTCAACCCACTTCCATTTGCAGTTCCGTTGCCATTGCTCAACTCCCCCTCCATAAGATATATACTCACCTCGGAGACATTCCTCTCCACTTCCCAGGTAATAATAGTAGTCTGGCCTGTTTTTACTACCTCCCCTTCGGTGGGGTAATATGTTGTCGAGGCGTTGGTGGAGGATGAGATGGTAAAGGGGGATGAGGTGTATGTCTCAGAGGAGGAGGAGGGTTCTAGGACGACGATGTAGTCTGAGCCTGTCCCTACGCGCGATGGCGGCGACCAGGAGATTGAGCCCGAGTTGGAGATGTTGGTGGCGATGGTGTAGAGGTTTGTTGTTTCGTTGGTGGTTTTGGAGAGGTGGATGGATAACTTTGAGGTGCTGGGTTCGGTGGTGTTCCAGGATATGACGGTTGCGGTGTTGAGGGAGATTATGGCGCCCGAGGTGGGTTCGGTTATGCTGTAGGCTGGGGTGGTGGTGGTGGCGGCGGTTGTGGTGAGGGTGGATGATAGGGTGATGGCTGTTAGGAGGAGTGATTTGAGGGTATGCATTATGTTGGTGGTGGTAGTGTTCAGTACTTAATTTTGGCGTATTGTGGATTGAATAGAGTTCACTGGTGAGAAACGAAAGTCGGTAGAACATAAACCTCAGACCACTAAACGAGCAAAACAAGAAGAAATAATTGTTTTTGGGCTGTCAAGGGATAATGTTTGGTTTATCAGCTCATTCCATTCCTTGCGTTGGGGTTACCGGTAGTACTGTCATGCCGGCAATAGTATTATCCAGGGTGGCTGTCCGGCATGCACGAAGCGGCCCTATTTATATCCCAGGCAACCATCATCAACTATGGGTCTCGTTAATTTACCCGATTGGTTGTATGCAGGAGCCAGGGAAAATATCTATCCCTAGCGCGGTAACGGCCCTGTGCAGGAGGCTGTATGCAGGTGCTGTAAGTAGTGGTTCCTGGTATATGATTATCCACTCGAGGGGCTAGGACTTGGTAAGCGAATTGTGGAGATAGGGCAGGTTCGGGGAATTTCTTATAGTGATCGCTTAGGCTGTCAGGTAAATTGCTTATTCTGGTTTGTTAGTTAGTGCTTCCTTAATTGTTTCTGGTGATGCGGAAACGCGTACTAGTGTTAGTGTTACCGGTGAAAATGTGCCATAGCGGAGAGATTATTTCAAGGTTTAAGCTGTGGTCTTGAAAGATACTATCTAAGCAATTATTCCTATTGGATTCGTCCTATCACTTTGCTTCGTTCCAATAATCTACATAAGACTCTAGCAGTAAATCCAATGGGAGCATATGTTCATTGAAATACCTTCTATATCACACTTGATGTCTGTCATTTTTGGGTTCGCATACCTCTCCTTATGATCTGGTTCACATCGCTACTAGGCCACTTTCCAAATTTCCAGTAATATCACCCACCGTCTCTAATGGTAGGAGGTCTGTATTCCGTCTTCAAGCTAACATTTGCTCAGTTTGTCGTTGCCTTGCGACCTCGACTTACTGAATGGCATTGTTTCGTCAATCATGCGCTGCCATGATTGCTTCGAGCTGGCCCATCTTTACACTTATTGCCCATGCCTTTTCCAGTACTGTCGCCACCGCATCTGTGACCTACGGAAGTGTCAGTCAGTCTTCAGCAGCTACTTCTCGCTGTAATGTCCGTGACCCAAATGTCGATCTATATACGTGCAAGGGAACAAAACGTGTGTAAATATCTCTGGGGCATTCCAATGTGTCTACCCCACTACTGGTAGACATCAACGCGTTGGGGTCGGTTGTCAATTTTTGACCTCTAACAGACCCTCTTCTTTTCTGGTGGGTTTCTTATCTCCCTGGTGCAGATGACACCTGTACATCCATCTTCTCCAACGCCATTCAGGTTATCCCTCATTCAATTTTCAAGTGGCTGCTTTCAACGAGCCCGACCTTCGCCACCGTTCCAGCTACATACAATAACACTGTGTGGGAAATGACTCAAAATTATACTCTCTGTCGACAAGCTATGGCATATTACAATATCTCTGCAGACGATTCCTTGACATCCGATATGCTTACTCATGACACTTTCATGGAGGAATACGATCGCGTCTGTTTGCTTGATCTCTCGAAGCCGTTGCCGACTCAAGCCTTCAACACCAGTATCTCACTGGTGACCTCGATGACCGAGACTGAATCCTACTCCAGTCAAATGATAGCCACTGCAACAGCGCGATTAACGGCTTCCATGGGTTCAGCGTCTGCTACTAACAGCGCGAGCACGACGACTACTAGCAGCGTTACTCAATCTTCCGAAGCGACTTCTACGGCATCTTCGTCCGTGAACACCTCCCCAGATGGCACTTGCGGCGAGTCTACCGGGTATTCGTGCACCAACTCTCAATTTGGGAACTGCTGCAGCAAATTTGGCTACTGGTGAGTTGAACCAGACTTCGCTTAGAGTGATGACTAATTGGGTTTGCCCCCGACCACGATCAGTGGATCAACGAGCAACTACTGCGAAACCAACTGTGACCCTGGATACGGCGAGTGCAAGGCTTCCTCCATAGCCAGCAGTCTGACTCCGACCTCAGCATCTACGGCGACCCCGACATCCACAGCCAATATCTCGCCTAATGGTCTGTGTGGGGCCAATAATGGAGGCTATACCTGCCTGAACTCACAATTTGGCAATTGCTGCAGCCTTTATGGTTACTGGTACGTGACTTGCCGTTCGATGCATGAGTTGAACAATGCACTAATGAGGTCGTTCCAGTGGATCGACCAGCGACTATTGTGCCTCACAATCCTGCGATAGCTCCTATGGAGAATGCTTTGCTTGAATCTGAGACTTCCGAACGCTTGTTGACCTCCCGATCCACCAATCACAGGTGACAGGCCCCGGATACTCGGATGTTATACTTTGTGCTAAGACCCTGGATAACCAGGGATGCGGACCCGCACTACTAAATTAGCAAAGACAAGGAATCAATCCAGAGCCACATCTCCCTTCTTTCGGAATAGGGGATTGTCTACACTACCAAAATTTGATGGAAAAGCTTTGATTGGGGCCAATTGACCGGCTACCTAGCCGGAAATACCCGGCCATCGCATAATTAGTGTGAAGAAATTCATCGCTTCCCAGTCAATTGTAGCTGGCCGTAGCACCCTCCGTACCCTGCGCATCGAGCATCATGAACCATTCAGACTCTTGATTATGCAGGACAGAACCATGGTTTTGCTATGGGAGCAAAAATGCGCTTCTGCGCCTTCCATAATTTAATAGCTAGCTATGTTACAATTAGGTGTGGCAGGACTAACAATTTCCGGTTTAAACTAACACAGTCGCGTGAGGCCTTTTCATATAATTTATTTTTCGTTTCTTTCTGTCTCTGAAGCTTTCTCCGGAATGGTGGTGGGAATGGAAAAGCCGATCAAGAATGTTGCCTACACTGGAGGGTGCCTAATGCACGGTTAAGCTTCGGAACGGGCCCCACGTAGGGTTTTACCATAATGCGGTCCGTCCTGCTATTTTCCCTTACAAATGAAGTCAGTCCCTTGGGTGTTTCCTAATCGTCGCTGGCCCAGTCTCTCTCCATCTTTTCTACAAAATGCTTCAGCTTGAGCCACTCATTCCGTCCACGGACCTCTGGCCGGGCGGCATCCTAACATGCCTTCGTGTAGAGCCTAGCCCCATAGATTGGTTTGATACGGCTGAAATATCCAAGGGCTGGCTTCAATTTGTGCAGGTTTGGACTAGTCATATCATCTTCTTCCATTGACAGAGATCCATCTAACAATAATTATAGGAAGAATGGACCGAATCAGAGAGTCTGGATGAGCAGCTCCAGCAACGCCGCCTCTTAATGGAACGATGGGCGTCTGCGAGTCAAGACTTCCGTGACGTAAAGTAACTCCTGTACTCTCAGTAATTCAAACCCAGCATTGATCACGCATGGCTTTAGTCTTATCAAGCTCGCGCGTCACTGCCTGAAACAGCCCTCGATTATCCCCTGCCTCTGCTTACTCGAATACGTCATTCTCCAAAACATTTCTTCTGTCTCGCGCCGGTAGATCGCGAAAAGCACGCGTCCAATTATGTCCGGCTTGTCAAGCTCCTAATCCTCCTTTACTTTCACCAAAATGACGGGGCTCATCCGATGGAGCATGAGCCTGAACCGTACCCGCAGATCCCGGCCCTTTTCCCAGATCTTACCAGGTCTTCACCTACACCTGAGGCCTTGATAACGCAGTACTGCCTTGAATCTGCGGACTTCCGCTATCTAACAATGACAGTCGCTGGGAATGTGCTATTTCCAGGTTTCTATAACGACATCTTCATAGTAATCGACCAGGAAGCTTTAAACACAGGCCAGCTGATAATGTTCGAACTTCACGCGAACGGTCAGATCAAGTCTTATACGCGTCTGCGACCTTGGCATACGGGTGCAATCATGCTGTATCATAACGTTCAAGGATGGTTCTTCGAGGAGATGATAGACCCATGGGAGCATCCCTGGTTTCTCCATAACAACAAGCCGTAAGCAAACCCCTTTCTTCGTATGAGAATAGTACGAAGTAGAGTCAAAGAGATTTTGCTAACTACATCATGACTATCTTCTCCTTTTCTCTCGCTTACAGTCTGAGCTTGGATATGCCGCTAGTTGACATTCTGGACACAGCCCAGCAGAATGGCGAACTCAGGTTCAATGATTACACTCGGGAATACTGGGCAGCGCAGCTGGAGATTTTCGCGCCCGGGTACCTCGCCTTGGAAAGGCAGGGATTGGAGGCGGACTATGATCTTGCAAATTTGTGGAGTGACCTTCACGGCTACCACCATTGGGTTCCTCCGGGAAAGTACCCACCTGGGGACAAGCGCCGTGAAGATGGGCGATGAACGGAGAACTAACTATGCACATTCAATTCGTCCCATACTGTGTGTGTAACGTGGTTCACCTTTGGGTGTGTCTCGCTTTGCGTCACTAATTTGCTCCTGTGACTTGAATTATAGATATCTTATTTTGCTACGTGCCCCTCTTCCCGGTTGATGTGCTCATCTATTTTCGGGAATCTATGTAGCTCACATCAAGAGACCTACGGCGACATAATTCAGGGCGATTCCTGTCTTCTGTGATTGAATGTAGAGTCCACATAGCGTTGAGTCACCCGTAGGGAACAGGACAAGGAAACAGAGAAGTATTCTGTTCATTATTTACTATTGGAGATGTGTAGGTCAGTGTCTCCCAACCCATTGACGTGCGCATCAAACTAGACATCGTGTTGATTCTTCATCCATTATGAATAAAACGAGTTGACGAGCGCTCTGGTCTTGTTCACATCAAAGAGTATAGTAGCCAATGCATTTCAAACGATAGTAAGTGGAAGCACACTAGAGCTTTACGAAACAAGGCACTGACGAATAGCTATGTGACAAAAGAGAGGTGAAACAAAATACCGATGATACGCTCTGATGACTTCAATCTGGGAGAAACACCACAGTCAAGAATCAGTCCGGTAATGTTTCTCGACCCAGCGTGTCTGCTTGTCCCACATTTCCCATTCTTTCCCTTCCATACCTTCCTTGCAAGCCTCTCGCACCTTTTTAAAAAGTAAAACGGCATGATCGTAGCACTCATGAAATGAAAAGCCCTCCCTGTCCACCACTTTGGCAGCTTTGTCCCAAAAATTCTGTATTCTGTTCCATATCTCGCCTTCTTCTTCTATGCAGTTATGTATTTCTTCCTCCTTGAAATGAATAGGACAGGGGATGTCAAATCCCATTGACTCCCAGTATCTGAAGGATGATCAGTAATTACTCAAAAGGGATTGTACCCTAAAGAAAGAAAGAAAAGACTTTGAATACCTTTCCACCATTATCAGACTTCCCCGCAATCGAATGATGTCGTTATCCCACGTATTGCCCATCATAGAAACTGGAACCGTCCTAGTTTCTCCATAGGGATATCCAAAGAGTTCCAAAAGAAGGGGGCACATATTCTTAATCCGCAGTTGATAAAGATAGAACACCATTGACTTGCCCATACATTCTCGGATCCGAGACTTTTCCTGTGCATCAAGATTATCGAAGTTCTCGGGGTTTTCAAAGACAATTTCGCCATCATAGTAGACTAGCTTTGGAGGACGTCCTTGAAGCATCAGTGGTGCTATCCACTGTCCTTGCCAGTCTATGACACTAGATACTCTACCGTTTTGAATGAAGAGGTTTCCAGCGTGCAGATCTGTATGCCAGAGATTGGGTGCATTCAAAGCAGGGTCAGTTGGGAGAAGATGGGGTGCAACTTCGGCATATTTGTGCAGCAAGGAGAGATGACTTTCTGGGTCATTTTGGGTTGCTGAGGGTGCCTGGGGGCAATCTTCGGATGGCGATGTTGTTGTCGCGTATTGCTGAATCCATGCCTCTTCCCGCCGAGCTAGGGAGAGTAGATAATCCTGTGGTTGTTGCCCTTCAAAACATTAGTCAGATTAGAGTAGCGAGTAAATAGATAGGTAATGGAATGGAGGTGTTGAAGGGCTTTTTCTGGGAGACAAACATGGTCCACGATCCAAGGCCATCTTTGCACGTTGATTATTCCAATAGTCTCTTAGCGCAACTGGACCGATAACAAAACGACGGCGTATCTCGTCTCTAAGCTCTGGGGTTACTTCTCCACTGGTCTCAGCCGGAACGGCATCTTTGATGTTGGAGGTTGCATAGTACAGGCTTCCATAGCTGTGGAATTTGAATTTAGCAAATGAATGTATCAGAATCGACGGGTAACTACACAATACCAGTTTAGGGGTACTTGAAGCAACTTGGTCTGTAACTCAGCGAGCTCTTGCGTGAAGTCCATTTTGTCATCGATGGAAAGATCTTCCCACACTTCTTGCACCATGGTACCTGATGCTTCCTCCATGATGATGTACTCAGAACCGACGGAGTTATCCTTGTCGGCATCCCAAGCATACACATGGGGTGTTGGTATTCCGAGAATCGTTCGAGCCTAAATTGCATGTTAGAAAAATCACACATATTAGAACATTTATGATGTCTCACAAAGTCCATGGTTGCAACCTCAGATGCCGTAGTATAGTACCTGGGCCCGGCGTTGGGGTGGGGGATTCGTGCAATCACGGCTGATCCATTGTCCATCTCAAGTCTAAAGCATTTATTGTAGTTCCCTTCTGCCAGTTTTGTGATTGCAGTGCATGTACCTGCACCGATGCTATGCGCTGCAATTCTCTTCAACTCAGGCACATTGAAAGGAGTATATCGGTTCTTGAGCTGTTGCTCTTCGTTCCAGAGCCAACGGCCACTAGTATACTGAAAGAGGTCTGTCTCAGAGTCAGACATGCTTGTAGGTCAAGAAGTGCAGAGATTAGCAAATTTTGATAAAGAAGGGAAGAAGGCGAGCGGTATCTTTGTGGTAGATCTAAGTGTATGGTTATGACCACGTCAAATTAGTAAAGCGGGCGATATGCTAGAAGTTGATAGATGGATGCTGCAATAGCAAAAGGAATCGAATGTTCTTAGGAGGATGCTGTGGTCTTTATAGGCACACAAGCAAGTCCGAAACCTTCCACAACAATATTGAAAGCTCTCGACGTACAACCTTGAAGTTTTATAGCAGAAATTTGTAGAAAAGAAAGATAAAAATAAATTTGAATAAATTTAGGGAGAAAAGGGTAAATCCATGTACAAAACGGATTGAAGGGAGTGCGAATATTTCATATCTTTCTAAGCGGGAATTTGACCAGCAATCTGCAGACTAAGCGTCTGCAACTTGAATTAAAACTGGGAAATGTAATCTGGCAAGGAGATAGAATTATCAGATTTGAGTTGTTCTGGTACATGCCGCTCCTCATTGAAGCTATCGAGCTCCAATTCGAAACTCTGGTAAATCCTGACAACAAAGTTCCTCACCCTTAAGGGTCACAAACCGAGAATAACACCACCACCACTCCTGCTATAGGATACGTGCAGACTGAAACAGCCACTTATTCTGCCTGGGGCATAAACATGGTACTGTAAATAGAAGGCGGTCTATTTGATTCCGTGATTCCGGCAACTTCCGTTGGTAGATCCCCGCAAGACAACCTTAGAAACGACATGGTACTTACTACCCAACAGGCTAAATTCCGACATTGAAGCCAAATGGTGCGGCCAGAAACAGTTACACGTAGCTCACGGGGCAGCAAACGCTCTGGTGATGGCAGTCCGTTTCACGGTGCTGATCAGCCCAATGCGTTGCCTGACTCGAAACGCCAAAGACGGGGCAGATATGTCTCTCAGGCATGGTATGATATTATGCCTCAGGCCATTTTCGGCTTCTTCCGGTCAACTGACCCAAACCCTACAGTATGCAATGTCGCCAGCGAAAGGTCAAAGTGGGGATGCCATAAAAGTTCGAGTATGATCAACTGCTGATTGTGAACGCAGTGTGATGGGAACTTGCCTTGTCAACCTTGCCTCCTTAGCGGGCGACGATGCTCCCATAATGCCATCGATCTACGACGTCGAACATCCCTTAGAAATGAAGTGCCTGCAAGTCATGTGAGGGAATCAATGACTCGAGAAGACATTGACGGTACGGAAAATCCCACGTTCGTCACCCCATCATCACTGAAGGGCATCTGTGTGACGCCTCTTGGAGAAGTGTTTCTAATTGGAGCTTCAGCGTGAGGGGGAAGGATGTGTTGACGAGATTGGATCGCGTCGAACGCCAGTTGCAGTCTCTCATTAATGCTGTATGCCCTGCTTTCAATGGGCGTGACAGCATCGATGCAGAAACAGGCCCAGTGGATAGACCAGGATCGACCACCATCGAGAACGGATCCTTTACTAGCTCGAAGAACAAGGCGCTTGTTCGTGATGAGGTAAACTCTTTTTCCGGTGAAACTTCCATCCGACATGTATTGGAGGAAGTCGAGGAACGCTTGGAGACAACTCAAGGCCACGGTGGTCCTGCCACCAACGCTCCACATTCTCAGATTTCCACACCGATTTTGACCCCGTCACCTCATCATGAGATGGGAGAACAGAGTCCACAGTACAATAATCACCGAAATGTATTCCTAACATACGGTATCCAGCCTAAGCGATCGCAGTGGGATAAGTCCTTGGACATCTTTTGTGCGGAAATCCATATCTTGTATCCGTTCTTACACCTACCAACACTCCGAAACAATCACGATGCCATGTGGAATAGTCTCGCTTTGTCTTCTGAACCTGACATCCACAAATCAAAGACCTCCGAGATAGCTCTGGCTCAGCTTCTCGTATGCATTGCTATTGGACAGTGTACCGAGTCACCAAGGTTGGAGAATCGAGAAGGCCGGCACTCAGCAGGCTGGAGCTTATATGGAGCAGCATATGGGTTGATTGGAGACCTTCTTGACAGTTTCGAAAGCTGCCCAGAACCACTTCTACTTCTACAAACACTGGCCTTGGTGGTTCGTTCCAGCCCTCCCCTGGCGATATGTATGACTCACGCTTACATCTCGTTTCCGTAGGTAATCTATCTCTTTCGTCTTGATAATTTTGCAAAGGCCGAAAAGCTCCTGGCTCTTGCTATCAGCCACGCACATCATCTTGGGCTACACCGATCTAGGGTAATACATAATATGTCTCCTTATCACAGTGAAATGTTTCGACGGATGTGGTGGAGTCTTTACATCTTGGATCGTCGCCTGGCTATTGAGACCGGCCACCCATCCTTGATCCAAGATGTCAATGTTGACACGCCTTTACCTCGACCAGTAGACGATGATCAGCTCTCTGCGTCCCTAAACCGCCCCAATGCTGACCTAGACATGCCTCAACTGTCGGAAGCAAATGGCCCTCATACCACTTCGTTTCCCTACTTTAGAGCTATGATAACCTACTCTCAAATTTTGGGCAAAGTCTGGGAGGGGCTCTATGGCGCTAAGAGCTTGGATCCGGCTCCCAACTATCCTCTCCGTGAGCATCTTGAACGCCTGCTGTTCCGGGCTCAGAAAGATATTCATCAGGACTTTGCCCATCCCCACTATGGATCACGCGCAACGCAACTTGCCGAAACGCCATGGTGGCTGATAAAGCAGCAATCCCTAATGCGAACTGTATGACACTTATCCCTCTATTTATTTTAATCATGCCTTACTGATATCCCCAGCGGTGGCTATCCGTTCGCCTTCTGATACGCAGGCCCCTGCTATGCGCATCTGTTTCGCCTGACGGGACTCCTCTGGACTTGTTCGAGAACGAAATGTCATGCATGCAAATTGCTAATGGCATTATTGAAGAGGTCTCCCAGTTCCCTGAGGAAAAGACTATCTTCACTTTTCCTTTCATACACTACCTAATTGGGGCGACAATAACCTCCCTCGGGCTGATAATGAAGGAGAATACGTTCAAGGCTGCCTATGGCGGAGCCACAGTTCATGCCGTCCGATTGCTGGAGTCTTATTGTACCAAAACATGGGTATCTGGGAAGTTGATACGAGTTGTTTCAAGGCTGAGGCATATGGTGTCTCGGTTATTGAAAGAAGACAATGTCGTGGGCTCGGGATTCTCACTATATAAACATTCAGCTCGGGCTCCCGAGGTTCTGAACAGTCGGGCTCAACCAACAGGGATCGGCAGTGGCAAAGTTTCTTCCATGACTCACCCAAGCCAAGTACCAAGCGACGCGTTAGTAGGGGAACGCGATTTTGTCAGACCACCTGATATGAAAGTTCGTTCGGGTGTAGGAGGCGAGGCCACCTCTCAGATGCCACCTTTGTACGGGCCAGATATTACTGCGCCTTGCTTGTCTACGCAAGTCCTGTCATTCGATGGCCTGGCCAGCCTAGTTATGTCTGACTTTGACTTTGAGGAAGGCGTCCCGATTGGTACTGGATTTGGAATGCATCCTACACAAGGTCCCGCATGCATACAGCCCTCACCAAGCGACCAGCCACAAAGCGGTGCGTGCACTAGTCATACTACTTCGAGACCCTTGGCTATGCATGACGAACTGGCTGTTGGTGAATTTGGAGATAGTGGATTGGAGGAAATGGAGTGGTTAGAAGCTTTGTTTGGCAATTATGTCAACTCTGGATATATACATGGTCAAGACACGTGATGCCTTCTAGAGACAAAAAGCCGACAAAGTTTATCTATCTTCATCGCTCACACGTCCATTATTTCCGTGTGAGGAGTCCGATCTTTTCGCCCCCTCATTCTAATTGTTCCTTCAAGAACAGGGCTAGTAATCATCAAATGCATATCCCAAGTCTAATCCGCTCGAGCCAATGAATCGTGCGACGGCAAGACACCAGCATTCTCAAACGACCTGTAAGTTTCGATCCAGGTGTCGAAAGTATTATCGTGTCGCTGCCAGCCGTACTTCCTGGCCTTGTTGACGGACGAAATCGTCAACCACGACTTGCCCGTCGCCCAGTTAAAGAAACCCCACGTGCCCCATTCAAATGCCTCGACCTTGCCTCCATGCTTCTGGACAACAGTCTCCCAGACAGCACGTTTATCCTTTGCCCATTCCACCATATCAATCTCATTGCTCAGGGTCTTTGCCTGGCCAGCGGCCTTTTCAAACTTGGGTTCTGGTACCTACAGAACCACACGGTTAGCCTGGATGTGGCAACCCTACTATTAGGGAAAGCACCATACCTCGACCCCGAAATATTTGGCCACATCCTGCCACATATGCTTCCACACAAAAACATCACCATTGACGTGATTGAAGACCTCATCCCTGCAGTGTTCTTGCGAGGAAGCCCAGACTGTGAGATCCGCTAGACTCGGTGCGTACGAATTATCGTCGATGGAGTTCCAGAAGTACTCATTTCCAGGGAACGTTGCTGGCTGGTGGAGCTCTCTGCAGATGAGCATGTAGATGGCGATGGTCAAGGCCTCTGACATTCCGTTTGCTGGATGTTCCAGACAGCGTTAGCCCAGGTGTCTCACCACAGGGAATAGTATGGGTGGATAGATAAATGAACCCACCATGCGGAGCAAATCCATTGATCGCATTTGGTCGGATAATATTGTACGACCAAGTATTCCTCCTCTTCTGCACTTCCCTCAGATAATCTTCCTGGTCGTAATAGAAATTGAACCCCTGATCGTCATACCGCGGGAACGACTCCTCCAAAGGCACCTTCACTGGACCGAGATGCACCCCGTAGTACTACATTCATCAGCATCAACTCCCACCATTCTTTTCACCCATCAACAGAAGAACTATAGAACAAGAAACATACCTTTCCCCCAGTCTGCAAACTCACCCTCTGCAACCCAGGACACACCGCATCCACGGCATCCAAGAAATTCCTAAAAAGAGGAACGTTCTTCTCCCTCAGAACCCTGAAGTCATCATCGTGCACGTACGAAGTGAAATAAGCGTGCGTCACGGGTGCACAGATATCCTTGAGCTTAGAGATGATGGTTTCCACGGATTCAAGAAAATCCACGGCGACGAATTCCACTCGTGGGTCGATCCACGGCGTGGGCAAGGGACGTCGGGAGGAGACGATGATTTTGGACCTTGAGTATATGATGACCGAGTTAGTGGGGTGATAGCTAGGCGTGAAGGGATGGGGAGTGGTACCATTCATGCTTGGGTTGGCGGATGAGATGTTCCACGATGGCGTAGCCGCTGATGCCGTTGGCGCCGGTTACAAAGGCGACTTTTTGGGGGAGGGGAGACATTCTGTGTTACTTCGGTAATATTGGGTGAGGATATCGGTCGGGTTTAGGATGGTGATTGTAGTGACGGGAATGGGAATGGGAAGTTTGTGTCTCTTATATAGTTGACATGGTGGGCTTTCTATATTGACTTGGGCTATGGATCAAGTCGATCCTTGCCTTCTTGCTATGGCACGGATATTTCGGCATCTGAAACGAGGGCGAATGATTATCTGTCTATGGACCTGGATCTAAGGATACTGCCTCAACCGAGACGTCTACACTTGCCATCGAAATTTTGGCTTGCCTCCGTAGCATAACCGGCTACATCGGCCTCAAATGCCCCTCTCGGCGATGCCGATCATCTGCAGCTGTGGATCCAGTTAAGCATAGATTTAACCTTTCCTGGCTCGATGGACGAGTTAGGGCTGGTGGATAGGTGGAGCTGTAGTTCCGTCACATTGGAGTTCCGTGCTTATTCCGTGATTGTTCCGTTGCTTTTTCCGGGTAATTCCATAGTTCCGTGGCAGACCCATGCATGATCAGTGTTCCGGCAGCCTCAGCAGGAATCATACTCCGGTTGTTCGATATATGACAATTTCTGTTGATTATTCGCAGTAAAGGTTCAATATAAGCTAGTAATGTGTAGTAGCGTGATCAATCATTATGTTGCACAGTAGTACCACTAGTAGAACGAGTGGTCTTGTCAACATCCGTCCAAGATATATATTCGCCGCACAAGAAGTGCAAATATTAGTAACCATTGAGTCAGTGACTCCACCAAAACAAGCAGCAATCACACTTCCAATAGACCATTTAGATTATCCCTATCTAGTGAGTTATTAGCTGGAGCGCAGATTATAGCATCATGTTCTGCTATCAGCTTGGAACCAACTTGTGGCCTAAGACACTGGACTGTCAGTTATGAATAAGGGCATCCGTGCAAAGAGTGCTATAAGCTCCTCTCATATAACAAAACTTATGCTGCGTCTTTCATCAAATGGGGCTGTGGTTTAGTGGTATAATATTCCCTTAGCATGGGAGAGGTCCGGGGTTCGATTCCCCGCAGCTCCATTTTTTTCTTTTTCTTTTTCTTTTTTTTTTTCCTTTACCCGTTTCCCAACCACCTCCATCTCAGTGCCTACACAGCAGATAGTACATACACTATACCAATCTCGTCCTAGACAAGCCATCCCTCATCACCCCAAATTAAACACACCACCCATCTCCAACCCACCTTCACCCCCCTCATCCACCACTCTCACCTCGGCACCACCATGCCCTCCCAAACAGCCTTCATCTCCGGCCCCATCAACACCGGTCCCAAAGAAACCTACTTCCAAACACACTACCCACCCCTCCTCACCGCCGCCATCGCCCGCAACGACTCCTTCGTCCTCGGCCCACTCCCCTACGGCGTCGACTACGAAGCCCTCTCCTACCTCCTGCAGTACCCCATCCCCCCGACGCGAATCACCGTATTTGTGACCTCGCGGGAAGACAGTCTCTGGGGATTGCAGTTGCGTGCGTTAGGTGTCAATGTACATGTTGTCGAGGGGGATAGTACCCGGGATCGGGACGCCGCTATGACTGCCGCCAGTACGTATGATATTCTGAGGATTAGGACGGAGGAGGAGGCGAGGGAGGTGTATGGGGAGTTGTGTAGGGAGGGGTATGTGACGAATACGGAGAGGAATTGGAGGAGGAGGAGGGGTGTGGGAGAGGATGAGAAGGTGGAGGCGGAGGTTGTTAATGGGGATGTTAGGGCTGGGTTGGGTGTGAAGGAGAAGAAGAGGAGGTTTCTGGGGAAGGCTTTGGGAAGGTGAGAGGTGTCGAGTTTTGAATTGGGTTATTTATGTAGATGCAGGGGTTGTGTGTGGATGGGTTGGAATGGTGACACAGGAGATGATGTTGTACTACCACTTGCTAGCCCTAATACCGGAGATTAAGCCCAGTCTTGACATAATTTCTCTACAATGTCTCAGTGATCGGTCCTAGAGGTGCAAATGTAGGACTGGCCAATTGAGACCATGTCGTGTCCACCGGTGGAAGCCATCTGCCCACCCAGGAGGAGAAGGGCGGGTGCACCTTCGCACGCTCCTGCTCCAATTCCTTCTATAAAGTCCACGAAGCTAATTGGCCATGCGCCACAACCCACCCCTTCACACATTCCTGTCCATGCATATCCAGGCTGACAGTCTGGCGGAAGGTTCGATCTACCAAGCAGGCCATTTGAATCACGGCTGCGGCCTTGAGTTGCATAGTCACATCACGAAAGTTATCAGTGACATCACTGGGTTTTGGGATGCAAGCAAAGTCTCGTTCAAGTTTCTTATGCGCGAAGTAATCGATGACGTGTGGAAGCAATCGTTTTCCGTGGTATTCTTAGAGCACCTTGTGCCCACTATGCAGCAGTACCAGACTCAGTCATTGTGTAATTACATAAAACTCAATAAGTCGTAGTCTTTTCTTGTGATGGGGTGAGTAATGAAGTACTACTAAGGCGGAGAAAATGGGAGGAGTTCCAACGCTTCTTACAGATTAGACCTCATGCGGGCAAGTTCAAGACTCAGATTAGAAGAGCCTATCTTGGACAAACTTACGAAGCCAAGCTCAGGAGGGAGGAGGTTGTTTGCAAGAGGACTCCATGCCTGCCTGAAGAGGAGATAGTAAGACATCAGGATACTGGATCTCACCTGTCTTGTAAGGCCTCTTGTAATAATAACGGTAGTGACTGGAGCTCAAGTAGTCGCGTTAATGGTCGCCACTTCCCAGACATCGGCTAGCTGTAGGAAGCCCGGTACAATGATGTCCATATCCCAGCCTGGTCATGTTAGCCGCGCATGAGCTGCAACCGACTGGCAAAAGATCTGCTGTGATAATTGGCCCAATAACGAGGCCTGTGCATCTCGGAATTGTCAATTCTTTAATCCGTGCCCGGAGCCATCGATGCTGACGCGTCTTACGGCACGTCAAATCCCCGGCTCGAGCCAGTACGAGTTTGCACACGACTACAGACGCTGATACCTGGTTAGTGGTGATGTGAGGGTGATCTCTAGCCCAGTAGAGAAGAGCCCGGAAGTTCTGAAGCGCAAACTGTAGGACTTGCAGTGCATGCTAGACTCCCAATGTATCTTAGGGGCCAAACAGTGGAGAGTATTATTGTGTATTGCGTATCAACGGGTAATTGGCGACCCATCAGCGGTGGGACGACCCATGACTGAATAGTGGACGGAGTGGATGTACTCACGTAGTGGATAGAGTGGGTGCAGTAGATGTAATGGGCTTGGTGGATGTAGTGGATCGCCAGTGGATCTGGGATGAAGCTTTAGAGTTTGGGACGCGGAAGGATCACACGGGCCGCAGCGGTGTCAAGAGTAGCTGCACTGACTGGTGGGTCTGTTGGAGACTGGAGCTCTACTATTCCATGGATCATGAGGCTGGTCGTACAACCGTACAAGGCGAGATGCATGCATACGTGTCTGCATGCAGGTCACCTAACCAAGGATCCAACCATGTTGCAGAGACATGTCGCACATATTGCTGTATTGGAGAGGTTTAGCCCTCCCACATTGCCAAATTTGAGCCTCCCTAGTGGGATCCGTATCGGTCTTATACACGAGGATCGTTCTTCTCGGATGAGCCAATCGACTGATGATAACAGTGTTGCACGTTGTACGAATCTCAAAGAGCCCAGGCAGTTTGGTTACCGAAGTAGAATTACTCAGGTTGCTTGGCGGAATCCTTTTGGTCTGGAACGTTTCGCAGCATGATGAATATATCGGGCCTGTACTGCGGAACAGGCGTAATAGGCGCTTCACCGGCAGACTGAATTCAAGAATGCCAGTTTAGCCCAATGACAGAAAAATTATTGCCATCTGCTAAAGAAACGCTTGAATACCAGCGAAGAAGGAATATGATGGTGCTTACTAAGCACTTCGAATGTCCTCGACTATCACTACTTAGTCAAGTATCCTGAGATTAACTTAAGCCACTGTCAGTATTCTAAGATTTTGAGGGGTCAACATATCTGCTGGAAGAAGCTACCTAGAAATAACTACCACAAAGGCCAAAAAGGCCATCATTACCCGCAGAACCTGCGGGACCTTACCATTCCACAAGCATACTGAGGTACATCCTAGGGGAGGGTGGGCAGACTATCCTAGTAAGAAATATATTTCGAACAGTAGCTATGCTCTCTTTCATCTCTCTTGTTATCTGTGGTGTCTCCGGGGAGAGAAGTTATGCTAGCCAAATTATCGAGCTAGCTCAGACCTTCAAGTAAATGGCACAAAGAATTCGCGGTGAATTTGATATAGCCTGCAACAGCTTGGTACATGTACATGATACTAATGCAAATTGTGTATCCGGCGAAGTACACTTAGCCACTTTCCACTCTTTCTTCCGGCGCTGCTTCCTTCTTTCTGCTGGACTAATTGTATGCCCTGCGACTGCACCAGGCTGAGCACAACTTTCACTAAGCGGAGGCCAGACCTCATCGACTCAACGTGCACTTAAGGCCCGGACCGACAGTGATCAGTTGCTAGGCACCAGTCCCACGTCGCGTCATCTGAGTAAGGGTTAGTACCACGTAACAATTGATTGAGGCAAGAAGGGTGGCAAAGGGCATTTCTTACCAGTGTACGAGCAACAACATCTCTTGAGACCCCCAAGACTACATTTGTCACCGTCGCCGCAATCACTAGTCCTCATTTGATAGGGGCGGGAATCATCCTGTATCCAACACTCTTCTGGAGAACACATAGGATCTGTCCCCAGCCAGTAGCAATTGACAGAGATATTGTCGCCGCCGTCTATGGTACTAATCAGTTATGTCACCGTCGAACCATTATTCAAGAGGGGTAGGAGTGGTGACTGAACGTACCCTCTTGTGCCAGACCGGAGCCAGCGGACAGCATAGCGACCAAGAGATAGTTGAAGTGCATGACGGACAATAAGAATCAGTCTTGGACAATATGAACTTTATAATCGAGGGCTCGGAAAAAACTATACTCGGAGTATCACTTGTTCAGAGAGTAAAGGGTTTGGTAGTCTCTACTTATATTGCTATTATTGAAAAGAGACTTTCGGTGAGAAAGCCTGTTACAGTTGCTTGATGCAACATAGCTTTGGAGTATGTAACGCGATCGAGTATGGAATACAATAGTGACGTAGGATAAAACGTTCAGATTGAACTGCTGGAGAGCACAACTTCTGGGTATATCGCTGAAGAAATTCAATGTCGAAAAACTTAATAAGAAGCTTGTGGGGTCTTGCCCCAAATATGAAAATGGCTATGTAACAGTATAAAGACTATTGGTAAGCGGTCAGATGAGATTAGAAGAACTTTATCGCTTTAATTAGAGTAACTGTCAGGCTAGAAAATCTTCATGCTCCACTTCCGTACGGCTAAGATACTAGTAGTTAACAATTTTCATTACCTCGCTGCTAGTGTAATAGATTTTATCATTTATGTAGATCAATTATAGATCGAGCTGTTTATTCTTGATCCCATCCTGCTTCGCTATAGAAAGGCCAGACTCGCAGATTTCCATTACCCCAAAATATATTAACCGCAGAAATTACCAGACTAGAGTCTAGTTATCAGACAGGATCATTTGGAGAGCGGAACCCCCGGGAAAGTGGCATAAGGCCGTATTAGGAGTCATGAGGTCATGGATAGCGTTTCCTCGCGTTCCGCAGTGAATATTTGGTAGAGGCTTCTCTGACAGCTACTGATTCTCAATCATCAGTAGGCCACTTCTATCACACTTGAAAGACTATAGATTTTCCCATAGAAGATTCTTTAGTAGATAGGCTTTCTGCCCAGACAATTCTATCCCACCGCTAGATACATTGTGTAACTAACTTATTTTACACAGCAATCTCAGATTTCTAAGGGAGAAACAGCAAACAATAATAAAAAGGATGATGACTTTATGAAAGCGAATGGATGCAAATATTGTGAAAGCAATCTACTGGAGAGGCAGAACCTGTACTGTACCCATTGCGTTTAAGGGGCAAATTCTTCCCTACTGCGAAAAGCTAATTCTCTCGGCCAACTGCTAGAAGATTGGAATGCTCAAGACGAGCGGCTTAGAAGCTCACTACAATCGAATAAATTGTAGGTTGCTAAAAGAAGAGGAATGTCTTTTTGGGGTTACACTACCCAAGCTTACTTGAAGCTGAAATCTTATGATCAAGCCCATTATTTCAGACTGGGGGAGGTTTCCATGCGCTACAAACCCAACATAGATCATACAAGCTTTAGCAATACTTAATGTGTGCCCCAAATCAGTTACCCACTACAGCAGATAAATTCTCGCCCTGGACTATCGTGGAGATAGCAGAAACCCAACATCTTGTGACCTCCCGATGTTCCAAAAGATCGTCGCTTACGCACCACCAGTAAGCATTGCATGCTGCCCTCTATTTCTCGTACTGGTAGAATACATATGTCTTCTGATCTTAAGGGGGCCTTTGCGTTTCTGTTGCAAATCAGAAGCGTTGGTTGATTGTAGAGCCATACATTGGTCAAGCTTTTCTTCGCAGAATCTAATCTCGTTTACTGCAATATCCTATATTAGTGTTGCAACAAAACAAGGACACCCTCAATTCACTTGATAGTATCATACAAAATCAAGATCAAAAACATACAACAGAAGGGATTCGCTGGTGGTCACCCACCCAACTACTAACCTCCCGGCGTGTGGCTTAAGTACGGCTGAGCGGACGGGA